GCATAGAAAGTTAAACTTATTTAAATTTTTTTGCTNTTAATATAGCCTAGAAAGTTAAACTTATTTAAATTTTTTTGCTATTTGAAGTTGAGAAAATTAATTTTGAAATTTGAACTAGCTTAAATAGCTAATTTTTTCAACCGACTGTAGTGACGTACGGTTGCCGAGTTGGTAACAATTGTGTTTGACACGCTTGGGGTACAAGGTTTCAACCCGCGTATGACAATGAAATTTTTGCATTTTTTCTTAATTCTTTTTAAGGTAGAATAAATTTTTAACTGCTTTGATTTTTATCTCATTTAGATTTAATAACTTCAATAAAGATCAAGGATCCCATCACTTTAGTCGCCCCTTGCAAGAAGAAATTTCTTATTCGTATTAAAATTATTTTACTATATTTTAAGTTTTCGCTTCGATGCAAAGCCGAGAAGATATTTTTTTGTGACTATCATTTATTTTCTCTGCTCTAACTTGACCTACTTTTTTAAACAATACGTCAAGTTACTTGAAACTGAGTTTTTCTGATAAATATACTGTAAATAGTAATTATAAAATTTCCTGACTGTATATTAGTCTTAAAATAGCATAGTTTTAATTCTCATAAAATTTTCTATTTAATGATGTCAATTTCAAACTTGTAATTGAGCTAAAAGTTATGGTAACATATTCAATTTTTTTTACTATAAACTTTCACGAAACTTTATCAAAAATTTTTCATCAACTTTAAAGAACCAAATAAATAGGTTAAAAATGAAAATTTGGACTGATTATTTTTAACATATTAAAAATCAAATCAGTAATAATTTGAAAACAAATTTTTTTTTCTTTTAATTATTATTTTATATATATTTAGTAATAATATAAAAAATTAGAAGTGATAGAAAAAGTCTAATTGCAGATTTGAAAACAACGCGAAAAGTTGATTTAGAAAATTATATTTTTGCTTCTGATGAAAGTTCCTTGTAGTCCAGTGCATTTATTTATAGTAACAAACAGTTTTTATTGAAAATTATTGTATCAAGCCCTTTAAATTTTTATACACGTAAAAGTAAAGCAAAATATAACTTCTTTATTATTTTTATAATATCTCCGTTTAAATTACAATATTAAATTATTGAATATCAATTTCATACTAAATTTAATAATTATAATTAGTATTTATTCATATATTATATTTTAAAATCAAAGAACTACTAATCAGGATATAATCAAAGAAATAAGGGTTGATGTTACTTTTGGAATAATCCACCAATTTCTCTAAATGAAACACTATCTACAGATTTGCATCGAAGCGTTTCTTATGATAGTGATTTTAATCACTGTCAGATATCATCTATACTTGTCCCACATATGCCTCGTCTACACTGTGCCTCGACCCTACTGTGCTACCGTTTTTTTACATAATCATATGTAATTTTAAAGATATTACTCCCCCCAAGCTCTTCTCTAATATGGATATATGTTAATGAATTAAAATTTTTTTAATATTTATAAAACATAAAAAATTCTTGTAGACATTTTCTTGAAATAAATCTTTTAGAAAAAGACTACACAATGTTCTTATATCTTGTGAATGGTATCCAATTCTCACTTATCAAATATTAAGTTATTTTCTTAATAGTTTTTTTTATATCATTGATTTTAATAAAAAAAAATGTTTAAATAAATGAAGAGTGAATGTGTCAAACGTTCTATGTGCCAAAAAATTGAAAAATTGTTTTATTTCTGATTTATGTTCTATGAGCCAAAGGTCACAATCTTGTATGTGTTTCAAGTGTCAATTAAATTTTTTACTTGTACAAAATTGCGTTCATAGATTGTATTTGTTCTGTGAGACATGCCCTTTGTTACCTGTACGTTCTAAGTGCCTTGGGCGAATATAATAGTTTGACGATTACAATATTATAATATAGTTCGTTATATTTCAAAATAACTAATACTGGTGTTGTTGTATTCGTTAAGTTTTCTTTTTCATTTGTTTAATTGTGTTATTATGGATACTGAAAGTATACATATTTTACGAAGTGGTAAAAAAAGAAGAAATGATCAGACTAAAAAAAGAATTAGTGGAAAATCGTATGCGACCAGGAAAAGCAATAATACAATTCAGGAAAGCGTCAACTTAGTTGTTATAACTTTGGAATACATCTCGGTGACAGCAATACAGCCTTTATGTATATGTGGGATGAAAGTATTGCTTCTCGTGGAAGCTCAGAAATCGCTTCTTTTCTTTTTCAAGTTATTAACAAAAACGAAAATACGATAAATCGCAAAAAACTAATTATATGGTAAGACAACTGTGCTGGCCAAAATAAAAATAAAACGTTAGTAGTTTTGATGTTATATTTAATAAATATGGGGATATTTGATGAGATTATACAAAAATTTTTGATAAGTGGCCACTCTCTCTTGGCTTGTGCTCGTGATTTCGCTATTATCGAAAAGAGACGTAGAGTTTTTCAAAATTTCACTCCTTCTGATTTACAAGAAATGGTTAGAGCAGCGAAGTTGATAAATCCATTTCGAGTTATTCCGATGGACGAAAACAACTTTTTTTCATTTAAAGACATTGCTAACAATTTTTTTAACACAACCAAGTTTCCAATGTTCGATGATTAAAGTTTCATTTTTAACTCCCAAAAAAATCTATTATAAAAAAACATTTTCAGATGAAGAACTTTGGAAAGATTTTAACGTTTTTAAAAGAAATGCTACTATAGACCAACTTAAAAATCAGACATTTATACCTATACCGAAACCCACATTGTCGTCAGAGAAGAAAAAAGATTTGTTGGCCATGATTCCTTTTTTACCTGATAAGCACAGAAACTTCTATAAAAATATAACGTCATGAATTAATTTTTTTTGCTATTTATTATGATGTTGCTATGTTCTAATTATGTTTAATCTAAATTTTTTTTTAAATTATTATTAGGTTTGTTAATTTATTTTTCAATTTGTGATACTCAAGAAAGCTACTGTTTTCTTTTCTTGTTACATTTTTATATGAAGAAAAAATTTTATTTTACGTTTTGAGATTTACTGACAATGTCATGTTAGATTAAGAGTATTTTTTATTTAAGTTTGTACATTTATTTTTCAATTTGTGATACTCAAAAAAAGTGTTGATTTTTTTACATATTTTATAAAAATATATATGAAGTCTTAATAAAATAAAGAATGATTTTCTGTTATCTATAATAAAATATTGGTACTTGGAACGATAATATTATCACATTATTAGAAACTTGGAACTTTAATATTATAATACTTGGCACTTGGAACTGTCATTAGCAAATATTTAATTTATACTAATATGAAATGACAAAATAAAATAATAGAAATTTACGAGGCTATTAATATAGTGTAAATATAGCATAACATATATTTTTATACAAAATTATAAGAAAATTTTTAATTTGTGATGTTTTTTGTGTTTTCTGAACAAATATTTTTTTGGCACATAGAACGTTTGACACATTCACTCTTCAAATATATTAATGATTTAAATTTCACATATGATTTATTACACAAAATATTATAATTTTTATTGAAAATTCCGTTTTGAGTTAAACATTTGAATCAGTGATTTGAAGCGTTGAATTTACTTTTATTGTTAGGTTGATATTTTTTAAATTCTACACTGATACTTCTATCTAGGTTAAATTATAACCAGAACCGTATTTAAACTTATGTGAGCCTGGGCAAATTTATTTTTGAAGCCTTTACAATCCTGAAAAAAAAGGTTCTTGAAAGTGTTAAAACCTAATTCTCTAAATTCTAGTTACTGGTACAAATAAGAGGGTCAAGTAGACTTAGCCTCCTAGTTGAAGAAGTAGCCCCCAAAATAATACATTATAGAAATATAATTTATATATTTCGTCGACTCATGACTAAACATTGTAACTCGAAAAAAACGAAGAAATAACACAATTTTTGTATAACTAATAATCGAAGTAGATTGGGTTTAAAAGTGTATTATTTAAACTAATATAACTCTATGTATGTAGATAATCAATTATAAACAAATAATTTAACTTAAAACACACGTACTTGTTAAAATAACTAATTGAATTAAAGTACTACAATTGTTATTTATTTATTATAATTTTAACTATAATGTTTATTGATGTCACTATAATTAGGTAATTAACATTTATTTAGAAATCTTATCTAGATTATAATATTTAATCAAACTATAAATACAAAAATTATAATTATTTTTTCATTATTTTTATGAATAAATTTAAAAATTTTAAATGATAACTTAAAATTCTATTAGACTGTAATACAATAAATCATTTCAATAAATCAATAAAAAAATTTTTTTTTAATTATTTACTTTAGTTGTTATTTTTAAATTGCATTATAATAAATTATAAAATTAAAATTATTTTAATATATACATTAAAGTTAATTTAAATAAAATATGGGCGATCGATATTTTATTATAATTTCTACAATAAAACTTGAAAATATTATCAACAAAGAAGAATTTTAAAGGTAATATTTAAAATAGTGTTAATTTCACATGCGTTTTATTTGATTGAGTTAACAATTATTCTAAAATATTTAAGGGATAAACTTATTTTCTACTTGGAAAATAACTATATTTACTCTAAATGACACTTATTAAGATTTGTATTAAATAAATGATTTTACCGACTTAATACTTTATGTGTTGCAACTTTTTTTGCAGTTTTATACTTTCTTGATTTAGGATTGATAAAAATATTAATGAATTTTGTTTTATGTACTGGGTTCCTAATATTAAATAAGGGGTTAAAATTACAGGATAATATTATGGTTGCGCACATATTTTATGTATTAAGTTAATTTTTAAAAAGTTATGTGTCATAATAACAATTATTTTATCAATCATTAAGTATATTAAAAATTTATATTTTATGGTGACATTAATATTTAACTAGCTTAAATTTTTGAAAATGGTCTTATTGAAGAAATACATAGTCCATAATAACTTTTTAATCATTTTTCAGAAATTGTGAATATTTCAACATTTGTTGGAAAGAGGAACGCAGTTGAAAAATGGTAACAATAAAGATAATAATAATAAGAAACTACCTCACTGATTATTTTCTTGAGTGAATATTCATAGAATATTCACTCAATAGAAATTTAACTTAAAATATAGTTAGTAATAATAATAATATATATATAATAAAAAATATATATATATATAATATATATATATATAGTTTAGTTGACAAAGCATGAAACATATATTGCATATAATATATGAATATTTTATTTATAAGAAAAGTTTAGTTACTATTTTTTGAAAATCACTTTTTTAATTAATACAATTTATAAGTACATAATTTATTGTTGAAAAAGTCGAATCATACGATATTTATACAAACAATTAGTTTATTTGTGAGTAGTACTAAGTATGGGGAATAATATATTAATAATATACTTATAATATAATATATTTTATCAATTGATTACTTAAGAATAAAAATATTAATTTTTTTAATTAAATAAATTATTTTCCTTGTTTTAAAAATAGTTATTGAAAAATGTATTTTTATTCTTACCAAGAAGTAATAAAATAGAATTATTAATAAATATTAAATATTTTAATTTAAATCAAACTCATGAATAGCTTTTTAAATTTCTACATGGTAATTATGCCTTTTATGTCCCCTTAAAACAGTCTCTGTTCAAAGCAATAATGATATTTTTGAATGGGTGGGAGATGGTACAATGATAGAATAAATGTAGGTCTACATGTATAGTATTTAAAAATATTTTTGTAGTTTTTCAATTGAGCAATAAACAAAAATTTCACATGAAGTTTTTAAAATTATAACCAATTTTGTGTACATATCATTTATTCATGTTTAAATTGTTATAAGGTCTATAATATTCATTTTTACTATAGATAGTCATAAATACTATTACCAATAATATGATATAAGAAAGGATGTTTTGTATTTTTATATTTTATCAACCAGAAACAGTGGCGCCGAAATCAAAAATAATAGGTTGGGAAAAAATTTTGTAAACTTTTAAATAGCTATCCACCCCTTAAGAATTGCAAAAATTTGCTCTTCTTTTCTTAAATTATTTTTCAATAATTAGAAAAAAATTGGGACATAAGTTCCTTACAAAACTAGGTTATTTATCATTGGATGGATTTTTTTAGTAATTAAAAAGAAAAATATTTAGCCACTTAATAGAAAAAATATATACAAATATTTAATGGATTAGTAGGGTTTAATATATTTTGCAAAAATTGTTAATCCATTGTGTATAATCTAATTTGAACAATAGTAAAAAGTTTTGTGAAGTTTTTAGTTGAACCCTCAATGCCTCATACATGTTAGTTGACCAGGTACTATTAGTACGTACAATCAGTCTAACGAGCTGTCGCGAACCAAATACTTATATGTATTTATAATATTTTACCTTTTTTTTTAGAATAAGGTCTTTAGAGCCATATTTTTTAGATATCGGCCTTAAAAAATATTAATAGGGCTGATCTAAGGAGGAAATCACCCATATCTCCTTTAAATATTATACTGGTATACAAAATAATTAATAATATTCCATTTATAATAATTGTGTTAATATTATAGAATAACTAGGTTATATCAAGCCAGGGCTCTGCCCCAGACTCGGTTCTCTACGGACTTTACAAGCTTATGGCGCGTTAGGACCTTCGGGCTGTCCTTAAAGGTAAACCACTGATTTCAGTAAATCTACCCAGCTACGATGTGTATGATATGTGTTGTGTAAAAAAATTATAATTCCAAGAGAAGTTTACTAGAAAATATGCCCCACATGTAAATTAAATAATAATTAAAATAAAATAATATGACCACAAAATCCTTAGATGTATTTACAATTATACTTCATAATAATCTATTAATTATTATTCGAATTATAAACGAAAGAAAACTTGAAAACAATCTTTAAACTCCGTGTTATTAGTGAAAACTATGTAAACTAACATAAAATTTAATCAAACATCGTTAAATAATTTTTTGAGTATAAGCTAATTTTTCAACGTTTTATTGTAAAATTAGATTATAGAAATATTCGGCAGGTCATTATTTCTAGGACTATGTAAAGAAGTAAATTTTGACAAGAATGTTGGTTACTGTGATTTGATGTTGTACAGTATAGTCATAGATAAGTTACATAAGATAAGACCTTGTGTAAGCACTTGTGAAAAATTCAAACCTTAAGTTTAAAATTTTTCGACCATCGCCAATGATTTTTCCAGATTCTCGTGATTAAGTATTATCGTTGAAAAAAAAAATGTTGAAAATCGTAGCACGCTGAGTAATTTTCCCAGAAAAGTGTTTTTTACTTGTTCTATTATATAGAATGTTCGGTAAGTAAGTAAACAGTTTTCTATTGTTATCATTATTTGTAAGAATTGACCTGTTTCCTTACTTACTGAACACTCTATATAATCATATATAAATTAATTGTAACATGTAGAAACTAGACTTCTAAGTCATTAGACTCTATCAGAACACTGACTAATTTGTCAATAAAGCTTCGTGGCTTTCATAGTCCTTTGATAATAAAAGTTGTGAAAATCCTACGATTAAACTCTAATGTTTTCTCCAGTGAACGGTTTCTGACCACTATTTGGAGGAAATCCTGTATCCCATTTGGCTATACCTATGTAAAAGTTACTTGACCATAACAGAGCAAAACTCTGATGACTAATAAAATATTGTCCACAAATTATGTTTAGATTACTCATACTTGTAGCGTTCCTAGCACAATTAATTTTTCGCTATAAACAATAATTAATGTGTTTCAGGTGTCAATTACTATGTTTCCTTTATTTCTGGTTGTCATTAGCGGTAAATTATGTTATTTTACATACAATAAGTACATATTCACTATTTTAAATAATTTTTTTTATTCTTATTTTAGTTATATTTCCTAAAGGCATTTATTATTGAGACGATAATAAATCTTAATCAATACAGTTAAATGTTATTCATAAATTTACAAAATATGTATGTTTTTATAAATCTAATAACTTTTGATTGAGCAGATACTTTTTTAATTATTATTCTCATTTTCATACATAGACGGGAGGAAGAGTGTAGTTTGTTAATTTTCTGACATAGATTTGTGTATCGAGTTAGTAAATTGAAAAAGATTAGTAACTGTTGATATTTCTGGCATAAAACCATTTGGATGTATTCTTATTAATTGTTTGAGTTCTGGTTTTATTATGCTTTTTATTATTTTTTAAAAAATGTTTAAAAAATAGATTAATATTGTAATTGGTTGGTAATTTTCAATATATAGTTTGGATCCGCATTTTTGCCAGAGAATGATATAATCAATTTTTCAATATTTTGGAAAAATTTCTTTGTTTTAATGACTGGTTGTAAACATACAACAGCATATCTACAATGATAGAGGAAATATAATGCTGACAGGTTTGAGCCATTTTGCTGTATTAAAAAATCAAATATGTCTGACTTCGAAATAAGGCATTTTATACTGGAAATTATTTATTTATGTGATGGGATAAAAAGTATATTTTGAGTTAACTGGCCAATATTGCAGGTAGTTCTGAACAATTCGACAAAAAAGGCTGATGTTTGTTTATGTTTCTTAATTTTATATCTGAATATATTATATGATATGGTATTTTACTATGTGATTTCCATTTTAATATAAATAATTAATTGCATATTTTATTGTAGTTTGTTTCTTTTTAAAAGTGTTTCAAAGTATTGAGGTTGAGAATCGATTAAACGAGTCTTGAAATATAAATGGATTGTAATTAACTACTGTGAGAAATGGTTCAGCTTTCTATTATAAAATAAATTGGAATATTTCATAATCTTGTAGTGTTTACTTAAATATATATTATAAGGATAAAATATAAGGTCAAGATTGACAAAAAATTATCAATGGTTTTTATAGTAGAAAATGCAATAAAAAAAAAAAAAATGGCTTATCCATAGATTTTATTAAATTAGAAAGATGGGTTTCCATGTGAAATCATCTAATGCGTGCGCAGCTATAGTTCAGAAATTTTTATCATAGACTTCTTTTAGGTTATTGAAAACAAAAATAATTTTTTTTTTATCAGATAAAGTAGTTTTTTTAATTAAAAACTTTAAAAAACACCTTCTTTATCTTCCCAACTTTTCCTTTCATTTGTTTATACATAATGCCGTGGCATGTTAGTACTTAATTGACGTTACAATCGAAAGCAACTGTGAATTTATGACCAATTTTAAATTATAAATTTATTTGATGAATGTTATTAGTTGCTATATATTATACTATCATATTATACAGTTTTGTAATCATATTATTAACATTATTATTGTTATCATTATAAAAATTTTTACAGAATTTGGAGTACTATTTAAAAAATGTATAAATAATGAAAATATCATGTGTAAATTACGTTCCCTCTCACTTAATTTTTACCGGACTGACATTTATCAGTAATAAAAAGTATTGTAATAGAAATTGATGATTTTTTATGAGTTTAGAAGTATTTAGAATTACTTTCAGAATATTCAAGAGAGAAAGTTGAAAAACTTAACATTGAATGATAATACCTTGCGTTTAAAGCTTAAAAATTATAGTAACATACGTTATATTCGCATTTTTAATAACAACCTAAACTAAAGTACGTGAACGTATGTCAATACTAGCGAGTAATCATCGGCACCATACGAAGTTCTTATGTTAGATGTGATAGGGTACTATCTGTGATAGTTTTTGAAAACATTGATTTGGTCATCTTTTACCATTCGTCATTCTACCCTACTATAAATTAAAACAAAAAATTTGTTCTGAAGACTTATCTTTTACGTGCAAATGGCTGCCGTAGTTGAAATAATGCTATTTTCGATTTTAAATTTCCAACTATAAATTGCTATAACTTCTTGAAAAATGTAAAGATCAACACAAATTTTTGTTTCTAAATACATTATATTTACCCCTTTCATCGGACATACTTTTTTTTTTTAAATCGGACAATTTCCCCTTATATAAGTGTTTGAACAAATTGCATAACACACGCAGTCAGCTGATGGCCGGCTTATCTCCCCGCCCGGGACAAATATTTAAAACACTCTGAAAGTTTACGGTGGGGATAAACGGGCCCATGTGTCCAGCTGCTTGACGTATTAGGCAACATTGCTGCAGAAGTGTTGAAAGTGGTCTTAGTGTATTGGAGTATACTTAATTTTGTCGTACGTAATTTCCGGTGTGTTTTGATTTTGTTGGTGTGTTCGCGTCGGGGCATCATGGCCTCTGGGACCAGTGCATATTCTCCAGTCTCAGAAGGTCTAGGTAACATATGCAATGGCATACTGATTCTGTATGTGAATAAATACGCACTGGTATATTGATATTGGACAGGTAGAAATCAATTGGTACGATTCGTTTGTCAGGCAGAGAGAAAACCGTGATGTGTCCTATGTTGCCAAAATAACTCAAGGAGACCAGGTGGTTACACCATATGAGATAATATTTATCGATACACAGCCCTTATTGAGTCTAAAACTGCTACCGAAAAATACGTGACAGCGTACGANCCGAAAAATCCGTGACAGCGTACGAGAATCAATTCCTAGTGACGCGTCACAAATTATTGTTTTACCAATAGTTTCAACCACTGAATGTGCTAATGTAGAATATAAAAATCCACTTATTAAACAATTACTCAAATTAAAGAATTAATGAAATTCTTAATAAAAAAACTCACAAAAACAAAATTTTGTTAAAAAAATACATTTTTTAAATAGTTATTAAATATTTAGAACTTAAAAAAAATTAACAAATAAAAATAAAATATAATTATTTTTTATATACACGATTACTCAGAGAGTTAGATAAAACATGAAGTATGAAAACCAGGAGAACACAATCGCGTATCAGTCTGGTGCAGAGATGGTTTCATGACGAGATTTTTTAGAATACAAGACTCTTAACTTACCATATTTTTTTTTTAAATTTTAACAATACCAAGAAGATTGATTATAATCTATAGATTTTTACCAGAATCTCACAGTACCCTTGTAAATAAATATACATAGTTTATTTTAATAACTTAAAATGTTTGGTATTTCATTTAGTAAGCGAATTAAAAATATCAGGAATTGTTTGCCAAATAATAGGTATAGTTCAAATTTTCATGATTATAAAAAAAATTAATTTTTTATCTAATACATTTTTTTCAGTTTTAATTGTGTTACCCAGTTGGGAATTGCCTTCTAGTTCAAATAATGGTAAGTAAACAGAATTAATTAAATTTACTATTGTAAACAATGGAATTATTAATAAAAATTCAATCATGAGTATAATAAATCTTAAAAAAAAAAGTTAGTATAATACACAGGCAATTGAAATTTATTATACCAAAAGGTTAAAAAAATTACTATGCCATGATTGATGATTATTATTTGGATTCGAAAATTAATGAATTAATAAAATTTGTCTGGATCTCTTATGAAACAATTAACTCCGTGAATATTTATTATAAGCATATTAGGTTGCTTACATAATGCACATCGAAAATTTTATACCAGATACCCGAAATTTTATTCTACGTATAAAAATGTTTGGCCTTTTCGAGTATGATACTTTTTTGTGGTATTTTCAACTAGGTGGAATTTAATTGGTTTAATGACACTAATGGTGTTCTACATTATTCTCTTTTATCTTCTCGTTACTCCTGTATTTCTGAAACATTTGCTTTTTATGGTTTCTATCAGCCTAACTGAACTTTTATTACACATGGCTCCCTTTAGATTTAGTGTTTAGTAAAGCTCATAATATAACAGTTAGCCTAGCTCGTGAGCCTTGTATTCCTATTGACCCCTATCACCCTGTTCTCTGTCTTTCCTTTCCAGTTACTTATCAGTTCTCTAAATCCTCTTTACCTACAACTTGTTATAACTACAATTTTGCTAATTGACATGTAGAATTCAACATTTTCCTCTTTAAATGTGAACTTAGCAGTAAACAGCTTCATGGATGCACTTAACTCCTCAATATTATAAAATGTTTCTCAACATAAATCTTATTTCTCCAAATGCCCCCCATGGTTTAATTCTGAACTGAGAAATTTTGTGTTAAAAAAAAGCGTGCTCATTATAAATTAAAAAAACCTCTTTACTTGATAACTGTCGTTATTTTTTACTAAGCCTATAGCATGCTATAAATATCTAAGCAAAATTTTCGAGCTTGTACTGCTACTGACTGCTGAAAATTGCCTTCTTAAAAACACCAAATTTTTATGGAAGTGCATAAAAATTAATCTTATGCTATATCTAACTCTGTTAGTTATAATGGCTTAGTTTCCAATATTGCACTGTCTATAATATAAACTCTATATCAAACATGTTTTGTAAAAATTTTTTCTCAGTGTTTTCTTAATTCTCTTGTCTCTAATAATATCTATTTTTCAATAGTTGATGTCTTTAATGGTCTATCTAAACTTAATAATAATAAATTTATTGGACCAGACGGTATTCCTGGTAATTTTTTATTTTACCTACGATATTCGTTATTGTTTTGGATGCTTTTCCGAAAATTTCTCGATGCAGGTTATTTCCATCTATTTTCAAAATTTCTTCTATATCTCTCCTTTTTAAATCTGATGATTCAACTTAAGTTGTTAATTATCGTCTTATTTCTCATTTATCAAAAAATGTTGAGTCCCCTGTATTTCAATTAATTGTATCTAGCACCATAATATTTTTATTGATGAACATGGTTTCCGTCATGGCCGATCTACATTAACACCTTGGGTTTTGTATCACTAATACTTTAAATTATCGCCTTTATATTGAAGAAACAAGGCTCACAAAACTTTATAAAGTTTATAAAAAACTTATAAAGTGAGTCGCTCATAAATTTCAACTCTCAAAACCTTTAAATAGTTTTGCTTGTTGGTTCACCTTATTCTTAAATATGTTATGAGATCCTTACACAGTTACAGACTCTATGATGCTCGAAAGAGTCCAGCGTAACTTTTTGTGCTTTGCCTCTTTTATCCTTAATATTCCCCATACACCTCATAACTAAAGTTCTATTCAAAATTTTTTGCAATTTCCTTCTCTATCAACCAGAAATTACGATTCTAATATCATTTTCCTCTCTAAACTCGCAGCAGGATTGATTGATTCTTCTGTCCTACTTTCAAAATTCAATTTTCGAGTGCCTGCATGTTCAACTTGTAACATTACCCCTTATGTCATTCCTCTTTCTACTTCTAATTATATAGTTCAAACTGCTCTCCCACGTCTAATGTACACTACAAATAATGACCCTAATTTATTGCACTCTTATCATATTTAATTTAGTAATTTAGCTACTCTCCGTCAATAGCTTCTAACTACCGACCCATCTCGATCCAATCGAAAAAGTTTTCGAGTCGTTAATCTTACAAGCCATTCAACCATCTATTAACAGAATAATTATGGAAGAACAACATGGCTTTCGCCCTGGTCGTTCAACTACTACAAATAATCTTTTATTCTGTAATTATATTTTCGATTCTTTTCTCAGGTGGATGTAATATACACTGATTTTAAAAAAGCTTTTGACTCAGTCAGTCATAATAATCTTATTAGTGTTTTAGGTAAATCTGGTTTAGGTGAACCTCTCTTATCTTGGTTTAAATCATACCTTCATGACCGATATCAATGGGTAAAGGTATATGGTATAAAGTCTGAACTATTTTCTGCCTCATATCGTGTTCCACAAGGGGGTCATCTATCTACACTTTTGTTCTCTTTATTTATTAACAGTGTCACTCAAATTCTTCGCCACTGCCGCATTCTCTGTTTCGCAGATGACATCAAGCTATATATGCGTGTATCCACAACTGAAGATTGCCTTAAGTTACAGTCTGATTTGAATTCCTTCTCTAAATGGTTTAGTACATTAGGATTAACACTTAATATCTCCAAGTGTCTGGTTTTCACGTTCCATAGGATAAAATCCCCATTTGTGTTTTCTTATAACCTTGAGTCAAAAAACATACAACGGGAGACTAATTTTGTAATGGACCTTGGATTAAGATTAAATTTTAACCTTGACCCTAACCAACATATTAATTATGTTTGCTGTAAGGCGTTTAAATCACTTGACTTTTTACTAAGATTGGCAAAGGACTATCAGCTAAAAAAATCTATTAAAACGTTATACTGTGCTCTAGTAAGACCAATACTCGAATATGGTTGTGTTGTTTGGAATCCCCGGGCAGCAAATGGTTCATTGCAAATTGAGCGGGTTCAACGCAAATTTTTGCGTTTTGCCAGTGCCTTACTTAAAATTATAACAAGTCTTAACATAGGGCCTCCTTTGAACCAATAAGGTTCAAAAGACATAATTAATATGGGATTCACAAAACAATTATTCACAATGAAAAGGGAAACAGCACAAAAATAAAACATTAAAATAAATATTGATGGCATAACTCCAGCTCATAAATAAATGAAGTTCATTAAAAAAAAAAAATAATAATCACAATAAAAAATATAACTTCACAATATCATATATATATATAAACAAATATATTTTTATAAAATTAGATGAAACATTAACCATTTATTTTATCAAATTCATTATCTACCGGCTCGTCGAATGGCAAAGGACATAAGTATTGCACTGCACGTTTCTTAAGACCATTGACAGTTTGCACTAAAACTACCCTTACTTTACTATCGCTACCTGGACATACTTCCATGACTCTTCCCAAGCACCACTTCAAAGGGGGTAAGTTGGAGTCTTTTTTACAATTACCATCGATCCGACTTGCAACATTTGCTTCCTATTCTCTTTCCATTTAGTTCTTTTCTGAAGTTGAGTAATATATTCCATGCTCCATCGCTTCCATATCCGTTGAGTTATTTGTTGAACTCATTGCCACCGTTTCAGTCTATTCTGTTTAAATGTGGACAATTCTTGTTCAGGCAAAGCTACTAAAGAGTCTCCTATTAAAAAATGTGCTGGTGTAAGTACAGAGAGATCTAAAGGATCTATGGAAATTGGACATATTGGCCTTGAATTTAAACAAGCTTCAACTTGTACCAGAAGCGTGTAAAATTCATCATATGTCATTTGTACGTTAGTAACACATCGATATAAATACCTTTTAACACATTTTACTCCAGCCTCCCATAATCCACCCACGTGGGCGGCTCTCCGGGGTATGAAGTGCCACATTATTTTATTGTCATTTAAAAATTGATTTACCCTGTTAAGGTGATTCTCTGACTCAATTAATATTTTTAATTCCTTTAATTTGTTATTTGCACCTTGAAAACATGTAGCATTATTGGAATAAATCTTACTACAAATGCCCCGTCTTGAAATGAACCTATTTAATGCTGCTAGAAATGCATCGGTACTCAGATCATTGACTAATTCTAAGTGTATTGCTTTAATCGCAAAACAAACAAATATACAAATATACGATTTTTGCGTTGCTGCATTTCGTCTATTACTGCATTTCGAAAAAGAGGGTCCAGCGTAGTCTATCCCGGTAGTTTCAAAACAACGAGCTGGCTTATCTACGCGCGCTGATGGCAAATTACCCATTATAGGTGAATAACTTTTTGGACTTGCCTTAAAACAAACAACACATTTATGAATAATTTTCCTAACTACTGATCGGCCATTTCAAATCCAATAACGTAACCGTAAAGATGCTAATACCGCTTGTGATCCTGCATGTAATAGTCTCTTATGCTCATGTATGATTAATAGCTCTGTAATCTTATCCTCCTTTGGATAACATATTAAGCTAGCGGATAGGTTATTGCGGCTGTTGTCGCACTAGTACTGACGCACTGATATAATAACAAGTCATAACAATATTTTTTGGGCTATTACCTGTAATTATAATAATACATGTTAATAAATAAATAACAGTTAATTTCGATGTCCAAACTATATAAGATCAAATTTTTAGTTTGTTTAGGTTTTAAAAATAATTTCATATTGCTTTCGGTTTTTACTACTTAAAACTAACAAATTAAAAAAAAAAAAGATCAATTAGCTTATCAGAAATAATAAAAATTTTTGAAAAATCGAAATCATCTAGATTCATAGACATGATTTAAACGCACTTGTTTTTCTTAATAGATTCTAAAAGAAAAAGACCAGATGATGTTGCAAAAAATGGTAAGATACAAAGTCAGAAATTTTAATAATTTACTTTAAAAATGATAAAATGAAAATATTTCAATTAAATATAAGTATATTTTTGAACACCGTAGCGGTTTTGGTTAGAAATAAATATAGTTTAAAAAACTAAAAAAACACGCTTTTAAAGCACATCGAACTAAAAAGTTAAAAATAATTTTTAAAATAATTATGAACAAAAAATACTAGTTTTATTGTGATAAAAGCGTCGGGCGCTCAATATACGAAAAATATGACACAAAGCACCCACGCTTTTATCACAATAAAACTAGTATTTTTTGTTCATAATTATTTTAAAAATTATTTTTAACTTTTTAGTTCGATGTGCTTTAAAAGCGTGTTTTTTTAGTTTTTTAAACTATATTTATTTTTTACTTTTTAGTTTCATGTTATGATAGTAGTTACTATCAATATCATGGTTGTTACGGGTAACGGGAAATCAGGGTTCGATTCCGGGGAGGGAGTCTGAGAAACGGCTACCACATCCAAGGAAAGCAGCAGGCGCGCAAATTACCCACTCCCGGAACATGGAGGTAGTGACGAAAAATGACAATACGGAAAACATCCCTCGAAATCGGAATGAATACTTTATACCTCTTAATTAGAATAATATATATTTTTAATAGTAATTAGAATATATATATATATACAAATAATGCGACTTAACTACGTAAAAGTATCATGCACTAGGTATAGCTGTGTTTTGTGGGCGGGCGTGTCGAACTAAGGTTATACCTGAGGTATAAACGGCAGTAGAAATATATACGTAAGCCATATGGTACGCGGATAGTATTGGTCAGTCAAAATAAAAATTTGTTTATATATATATAATATTGATGACAAGCACACGGGTACTATAACCAAAAATAAATTTATACAGAGGAATAGTGTTGCCGTCTTGTGTAGAGCGAGGCGTGGTGTGGGGTGAATGCGTTATGACAGTTTAGTCTAGACGACAGAATATGCGATAACGCGTGGCGTTTGGAGAGTTACATACATACATTCATACATACATACATACAAGTGAAACTAATATAAGCGTGTTAAAAACGAAAAATCTATTTTAACCAGGTATTGCTGGATTTATTATATAATTTTAGCTTCGATGCGAAGCTGAGAAAGTATTAATTTTACCATGATGTGTTTTTTTAGTCTGTTGCCTAATTTTTTCAGCTCTAACTGGACCAATTTTGATGAACAATAAGTCCCATCATATCTAGTTGAAGACATTACCCTTAAAAATTGAAAAAAATTCCCTTGTTCCCTGTAAATGGGGAAAATTTCCAAAAAAATTACAATTTTTCAAATAGGTAAATTTTGTCATTTTTTTTCTTAAAACTGTCATAACTTTTTTTAAAAATTAACAAATCAACATAATTTTATATTGAAGCCTTTGATATTTTCCTTTCATTCGATGTCATTTTTTTGAAAATCTGACACTTAACTTACTCACAGGGGGGATTTAAAAAATAACTTTTTACAAAAACTAGTTTTTGCAACATAACTTTTGAAAATGTTCCGGAAATACTGCGTCCTTTAAATATATATCAAATTAAAGCTTATGACATGTACTATAGAATTAAAAAAAAATTTTTTCCCGACGACCTATCTTCTATGCGAAAAAAGGCTACCGTATTCAAAAGTATGCTATTTTTTTTATTAAAATTCTGGGTTTTGTATTTAATATAAGCTTCTTATTATGATTAAATAAAAGTATTAACATTCCGGAATATTTTCAAAAATTTAATTGAAAAAGCTTTACTTGTGTGCAAAAATTGCTTTTTTGAATCTCTCCTATGGACAGGTTTAAAGTCAGATTTTCAAAAAAATTATATCAAAGGAAAGGAAAATATCTAAGGTTTCAACATAAAAGATAGTTATGATAATTTGTTAATTTTTAAAAAAGTTATGAAAGTTTAAAGAAAAAAAAATTTAAAAAAAAGTAAAAAATTAATGATTTTCCCCATTTACGAGAGAAATTTTTTCAATTTTTAAGGATAATATCTTTGATTAGATACGATTTGTGATCTTTTGATGTATCGCTGAAAGAAATCGGTTAAGGAGAGCTGAGAAAATGTGGCAACAGACACAAAAAATAAAAAATAAATTAATACATCATGGTAAAATTAATACCATCTCAGCTTCGCATCGAAACTAAAATTATATAATATTTAATTAAAAATTATATATTATATTTTTGAATCTAAGAATTGCTAATCTGGATATAATTAAGGAAATAGAAGATGATGTTGCTTTTGTAATTATCCATCAATTTCATAGAATTAAATACTATCTACAGATTTACATCTAAGCGTTTCTTATGATAGTGATTTTAATCATTGTCAGTTTAAATTTATACTGGACCCAACAATGACACGTCCCTACTGTACTGGGTTTTTTTTAAATTTAATATTTAAAAGGAATTAATTTTTCTTTTAAATTGTATTATATTTAATAATTATATTTAACTATTTTACGAATACGTATGTTGTATTATGTTTAACAAATTTTATGCTTCTTGATGCCACCTATTTAAAATTAAAATTAATTATTTCAAGTAATTTTATACATGATTATTATGGTGTTTTAGATATCGATGTAGAAAAAAAGCCTAAATCAAATAGTTGTGAAGATTGTAAAAATATTGTGTATTCAAAAAAATTCTATGCAATACTTTATCCCTGTAAACATGAGTTTTGTACTAATTGTGCTTGTCGTATCATTAATAACGATAAAATATGTTTTACTTGTAACAAATTAGTCACTCATGGAATTCATTATTAATATATATTTATTTCGCAATATTTGTGTAATATTATTTTACATTATTTTTAAATAATTAAAATAAAATGTATTGATGAAAATAAAATGATAATTATTCTACAATATTACAAACATTTTTATAGATACTATACTAAATTAATTTTTAATCAACTCTTTATAATAATAATAAGTTTATTTAACCAATTATGAGAAAAATTAAATAAAAATATTTAAAAAATATGGAAAATAAAATATTTAATACCCCTCCAATAAGCATAGATTTTGTTTGGAGCGAGTGAGTTCAAATTTACTTATATATAATTAAAATAAATTTTTTAATATTTATAAAATAATAAATTTCAGTTTATAATGACAATAAAATTACAATAAATTAAAATAGAAAGTAACAAGAGAGAAAGAGAAAAATATAAATCTATACAATGAATAGTATACTGATACTTTATATAACGTATATATGTTCAGTTTAAAATTAAATATTATTAAAATTTAATTTCTTAATAAAACTAAATGAATTTTTTTTTAAATTTACTCAAATCATTATTTAATTTTCTTCATAAGATGTAGATACATAACATGTATTACATTCATTTTAACAAATTGTGTAATAGCCACAACAATATTTAAATTACTAAATTTGTTTAAACGTGTATTGTATTCTTGTTTTGGCATACATAAACTAAAATAAACTTTTAACATACATAATATAATATTTCTGTAATAAATATCTTTTAAATGAGAAACATTGACATTATTATTGTAGTAAATAGCTGAGGAAGTAATGAATTACGTCTATTTTAGTATAATATAAGCTACAACAAGAGTAAGTAATTTTTGAACTCTTAAGCAATATAATAATTCCATATAAAAGAGAAATACAGGGTAAGCAAATGAATAATGGTGGGAAAAAGAATATAAAAGGGAAACATGAAAAGTATAGGGGACTGGTCTAGACGAGACTGGACGTTTTGACGAAAAAACGTCAAGTTACCGGTTAGGTCGTTAGTGTGCGAGTAACTTTGCATTTTTATAAGATTTAATTAATTTTGTGTTAAATTTTTATAATATATTTGACATTGTGTTTTTACGTTATATAAATAAAATAATTATTTAAAAATCTGTACTTGAGAGTAAATACTTTATATCCATCGTGATATTAAAATTTGTGTATGTGCGGCAAGAGTCGATATCAAATTGAGCTAAAGAGATGTAAACTGTTTTAAACACAAGTGAATTAAGCATATATTGAATAGGTCATTTGAAGAACCCCTTTAATCCCAAAGTAAAAATTGTATAGGAGAAGGAAAAAACTTTCTCTACTTACACTGAAAGACGGAAAGTAGCATAAAACGAATTAACACTTTAATGTACCTTATATTGAAGTAGTTAAATGATAGCTCTGGTTTATACTTTTATATTACTAAAAATATTTGAGTTCTAAGGTTTTGGGACTGATGGGGTTTATTAAATGACTTTTGCCGCTAATTAATATATAAACGTAAAACAAATAAAATATCCTAATTAAATTTAAATTAAGATATTTTTACCAAATAAAAATCTTTAAAGTAAAGATTCATGTTTAATAAACATTGTTTATATACCTAAATAATTTATATTTTTCATCTAGAATATTAATAGCAAAAAAATAAATGGTACTTTCATTTAACATTTTTTTTAATACAAGTTTTAATTTTTAATGCAACTTGGAAACATTTATAAATTCTTTGTATCAGAACCAGGTTCTCCGTCTCTGACCGGTAGGTTAAGATTTTGTTATAGAATGACTTACTAAAGTAAGTAAGGCTTAAGCTTTAAAAAATCATTCTTTTTTTTGTTTGTTTATTGGTATGGGCCGTTTATGTAGGCAGTGTAGGCAAACAAATTTAAAAGAAGATTTCATTGTAACTCTGAACGGATAAGATGTGAAGCCATCTATATAGTTTCTGGTAACTACAGTTCCATCATTTTATTTAGAGTAAGTTAGTAGCATAAACTGGGAAAGATTAATGTAAATTTTTTGTCCCTTGATAACTTTTCTTCATTTGGTTTCCAAAGAAATTACTTTTTTATAATAATGATTTGGCTACCAAGTTTTAGCCAAGTTCGATACGAAGCTGAGAAGGTATTAGTTTTAATATGACGTGTTTCATTTTTTTTTTGTGTCTATTACCACTTTTTCTCAGCTCTCATCGAATCGATTTCTTTTAATAATACGTCAAAAGATCAAAAATCGTATCTAGTTGATGATATTACCCTTAAAAATTGAAAAATTTCCCTCGTTCGCCGTAAATGGGGAAAATCTCCAAAAAAATTACAAATATATAAACCGCTAATTTTTAACATTTTTTCAATTTTTTTTACCTAAAACTGCAATAACTCTTTTAAAAATATCCAAATCAATACAATTTTTTTTTATAGATACATGAAGTCTTTACCTTTTATTTGGTATATTTTTTTATAAATTTGACCCTTTACCTGCTCACAGGGGAGGATTTAAAATGATAAATTTTTTACAAAAAATTAACTTTATCAACTTAATTTTTGAAAGTTTTCCGGAAAGTCTTACACTTTAATATATATCTTAAATTAAAGCTAAAGTAATGTACTTTATTGTAGAAAAAAAAAATTCGGACTGTATTTTTTCTTCACGGTGAAAATGGCTACCAAATGCTATTTTTGTGTGAAAATTATCGATTTTATTTTTTACATTTCTAACTTTATAATGCTAAAACTTATTGAAAAGTGTGTGGATCAACACAATTTTTTTATGAGAAATGATATTTATATCCCTCTTTCATTCGACACACTTTATCTTAATTAGGATATTAATAAGGAAATTGCAGATCATGTAGCTTTTGGATTAAGCCACCAATTATTTAAAATTAAACACTATCTAAAGATTTTCATCGAAGCGTTTTTTAGATAGTGATTTTCATCACTGTCAGATATCATATATACTGGACCCAACTATGCCATGACCCCACTGTTCTGTGTTTTTATAGTCTAATTTTTGATCGGACATAACCATATTTATTAAAAATTTTCCGTTAAAACTGGAAGAAAATATTAATCTTATATACTGCTCCAGTGTATTAATCCTGTCAGAAAAATTGCGGTCACTTGGTAAAAAAAAATAACTTCTTATAGGATAATTGTTTGAACGGAACGCCCGTTTATAATGTGCGGGTTAGTTAACGTCCAGTTGGGTTATCTAATTATGCCGGAGAAAGAAATATGGAGTGGACTGTATATAAGAGGATGGTACTTACACTAAATAAAATAATAAGAATTACAAGACAAGGAGTTATATATTATAGTAACAATATATATATATAAACTATCATAGAATTGTGGGTTGGGGGGGGGTCACTTAATACTAAAATGGCCAACAAGGCATCTCTGAACAAAATAGATAAAATATAATATAATAATTACAATCAAATAAAAACTTAACTGTGTAACGTACAATAGATGACAAATGACTGATGACGGTGAGAAATGAACAGTTGGAATACTTTACATTAAAATGTTGAAGACTACAAGGGTAGTCCATACAAACGGAGGCACTTGTTATGTACACGAAGTGCGCACAATGGCATAGACTGGTATAGCAATTCTATACCCACAACGATTCACCAGGGTAGTTAATCCATTAAAGTGACTATGAGCTAGGTGCATCGTAGAACCACGTAGCAAGTGCTAGAAATGGTGGCGAGAACGCAGAATTTACAAAGGGGACCGATAATAGTTCGGCGAGACACAATAATCACGTACACTAGCATCCAACGTAGTGAATCGCTCACACAACCGGTAGTGGTAGTGCGAGAGATGTTATCAGTCATAAAAATAAGATGTAGCAAAACGCCCTCTCGTAATGCGTATCCAACAATAATATTGCTGAATTGATTTAAATTTCTTTAAATACATTTTAAGGATTGAAATTTACAAACATATTTTATTGTACTGCATCCTTTCAAGGTGTTAGCTCCAGGACACAATGGACCATCCAATACCGCCTTGAAAAAAATGTTGCAAGTATATTAAACACCAAATGTTTGATAAAGTTCCTTTTACATAAAGTTAATTGTATCGATTGTAGATTTTGGAAGATCTTTATCGAGTACCGGTATTCAATTTTCTATTTACACCTTCAATTCTGATTCAAAAGTTTCATCAGTAGGTAATATTTTTTATAAAATCAATTAAATTTTAAAAGTCATTGCAATTTGGATTTAACTTAATTAGAAAACTTGGAAGAGAGTTTTGCAAATCAGAAATAATAGAATTGTGTTTTATCATTTATCAACAAATTGACTTTTAAAATAATCTAAAAGTACTATTCAAATGATTCTACTGGAATATTATTACGTAGAATAAAAAACCTAACATTCATGACGTTTTAACCGTTTCGTTTATTAAGTCTAATACGTTTATTACTTCTAAACATAACTTATGAACAATTAATTATGATTTTGTTCACAACACTCAAATTAATCTATATTTATTTTTTGTAGAGAATTACATATAGGCAATGATATAGCAAATAGTTTTTTTTGTAATGTATAATGAAATTACAAATGAGTTCGAGGTAATATCTTTTGTAAGTTGTGATGTTTCTAAATTATAATGGTGTTCAAGTTCACTTAATGTATGTGTTATTGGTAAAAATAGTTCTTTAAATCGTAACAAGGTGTCGTGGCGTTCAACCCAGCGAGTTTCATGCATTTTTAAAAGTGTATTTTGGTATATGGTTGGAAATGGTTTTTTATTAACTTTTTGACTAATGTAAATAAAATTTATTGCTGAATTTTCTAAATTTTCTTTAAATACAATGAATTGCTTTGTATTATTAATGAAAATTTATACCAGGGACGTTAAATTATTTATTTTTGAATAATTATACTCACTTTATCTATAATTTAAATTAATTAGGACTTTACATAGTTCACAAACAATAATATGGCTAGATAAAAATAATTTTCCATAACAATTTAAATCAACGTTAAATAAGAGTATATGTTATCACCGTTTAAATAAAGTAGATCAAAGCCTTTTCCCATTTATGACCTTACAATCATTGACTTATCAGTATAATATTTTGCTAAACATTATGTTAAAATTTTAAAACAAAATTTGTTTTACAATTTAACATACATTTTTAAACAAAAGTTTATGGCAGTATCAAGTAAATTAAGTTTAAAAAACCCATCTTATCCCTATTAAGCTTTAATTTGGTATAAGTTCAAAGAATGCAGAGGCTCCGGAACATTTTCAGTAATTGAATTAAAAAAAAAATGACATACTTAAGTGTTCAAACCCTTTTTATACTCCAGTATTCTTTGAATATTCATAGAAAGCATATCAAAGAATGATTATTGTCTTTAGTATGTTGAAATATAATGTCACACAAATCCAAATGCTTAACAAAATTTTATTGAAAATATTTAATGCAGAAAATCGCTGCATCTTTAAAAACAGACGATATTGTACTGGATATCTATGAGAAATTTGAAAATAAAATTTAAAGAAAGTAAATTCAGCCATGTAACATTTACTCTTAACCCTGAAATATTCCCAGCTGTAATTTTTAACAATATCTTTATATTTACTCAAAAAGACACAAAATACTTAGGTATAATTATAGATAAACAACTAACACGGGGGTCTCTCTCAGGGGAAAAAACAGGCAAATATTAAATTGCATCATTTTTATACGTTGCTCAAGTTCAATCTGCCATTTAGGACTAAATTACTTATATTTAAATAAATAATTATTTTATAATTAATTTAATGTACAAATTGTATTTATTTTATAATGTAATTATTTAAAGTGTTATTCAATGTTAAACCTTTTTTATTATTATATAATCTTACATGAACACTGCAACAAGACGTATATGAATGTTTTATGGTAATATTTTAAAAATTTTATTTAATACCTTTTTCTTAAGGTGAATAATAAAAAAAAGTTATTTTTACAATTTCAGTATATTTAATTTCCTGATGGTTACTATTTGAATAAGTAAAAATTATTATTAAAAATCGATTCATTTATTGTAATAAATTATAATGAGAAACATATGTTACATACAAAAATTAATTGTAAAAGAAAAAACTAACCATATTCAAGGAAGAGACAATATTGCGCTAATTCATTCTGATATTTCAGAAATTAAATTTGCAAAAAATATTTGTACTAATTTCAACATAGTAAATGATTTACATCAATGTAATTGTTAATTGTTCGTCAGGTGGAATAAAGAACCTCAAAACATCTTATTTCTTCAATTTGCCTCCAAGTTATAACTACACAACAAAAAATACGATGTGTAAATAACTGAAATCTCTTAAAATCTATATATTATGAATTAATATCAATTTTACATAGTTTCAATACAAGGACATAGTTATATATTATTCATAAGAAAAAGTTCAATGCATTATCCTATACCATTATTTTAGCTTCGATGCGAAGCTAAGGAGGTGTTGGTTTTACTATGTGTTTTTTTTTTGTGTCTGTTACCACTTTTTCTCAGCTCTCACCGAACTGATTTCTATCAGCAATACGTTTTTTTTTTAATAAAACTTGATTATATGTAAATATAATATATTAATATTCGTAATGGGAGTTTGAATCCCTTCGAACTCACTCTTAATCTACAATTATTAGTGTGTAAGGTAAAAATAATTATTTAGTTAAACGATCATTTTGAAGTCAAAACACATTATTAATTTTGATGAAAATGAGATATTGATATCTTATGATAAGTAGAACCATCTTAAAGATATCAAAATCTAAAAAAATAAATGATAAATATGTTTTATAGTTATAGTTAATATAACGTTAAGCCTAATTATATAGATAGAAGAATAAACTTATAAAGTTGGCCTAACAATTATATTAAGATAAAATTACTAAATAAATTTAGTCAGTAATTTTTTATAGCTGATTTAAAGTTTTTTATTTTAAAAGTTAAGCCTTGTCATAGCAAAAAAATAGACTTTCTTCTCTCTTTAATGCTAGATTTTTCATTTGTGAACACCTATTGCATCCAGCCATTCCAATCATCTCTCCTATGAAAGTCGTGTCAATAATTAGACGAATTAACCTAGTTTAAATTTAAATTATATAATTAATAAATTTAAAAATGCTAATATTTTACATCGAAGAAAATAAACACCTATAAACATATATCTGATAGTTATTTAAACAAGTTTTTATTGATATTTTAAAAATCCCAAAAAAAGTTTTTTGTCTTGAAATATTTAATTGTATAACTTTTAACTTTAATAAAATTTTTTAAATTTTGTAACAATTTAAGCAGAAAAATATCTTGGAAATAAGGCCGTGGTATATAAGGTGTAGAAATAAAATTTCCTAATTAAAGTTTTTTCCGTAAATAATCAGTGAAAAACTTTTTTTTCTGGAAAAATATTTGAAATTAAAAGTTTAATTTTCAACATAAAAATCTATATAAATCCTTACAAATATATCCATACAGATATATTAGAAAAAAAATTTTCCTAAAAGAAAAATGACTATGTATGTTGAGATTAGTAACTTTTAATTATTGATTGGAAATGTATAACTATAACACTATATCAATAATTTTTAATAATCAATAAAAAAAAATAAATTATTTGTATGCTTAAAACTCAAATGTAATTAAAATTACACAGTAATATATTTAGAAAGTGAATTGTAGGTTAGTAGATAAATAAGAAAAAACAAAACTTTACTTGACAAATGACTACTAAAATAATAAGTAGAGCTTGGATTTATTTACATTTATAAATTTTGTTTAAGGAACTTTGAAGGATTCAAGTTTGTGCAACTTTGTCATAGAATTACATAGTAGAGTAGAAATATTTTTCATTTTAGCGGAGAATAATACCTCCCATAAACTATAACTGCGGTAATAACACATTGCTAAATTTTCAACTTGATTAATAAAAATGTGTATTAGCTGATGGTGCGTTTAGAATAACTTAATAAAATTTATAAATGCACATAATTTCTACCCCTTATTACGACTAGAAATTAACTTAACTTATTATTATAAGTTAAGTTAAGAAATATTACAGTTATTAAATAATAATTTAACAATAAATGATAAATGGCTAATACTTATAATTTTTTAGTGAACTTAATCATACAACGGCTCGGTCAAAGTGTATTCTTTAGCCTGTAGATACATTCGGAACCTCAGCTGGCAACACAAAATGGCAGCTTTTAATAATATGGTTTACAGATAATTAATATTCCGATGAGTAAAATAAATTTTGATAACGAATTGGGGGTTATAAGAAAAATAGCTTGATTTAATTCAATTTTAGAACTTTGGCATTACTTTAGTAAAAACTAAGAGTAATAATTTAAGAAATTTACTAGGTAACCTTAAAAATAAAGTAGAAATAGGATGGAAATCGGGTATTTATAAAATACAATATTAAATTTATAATAAATGTTATATAGGACAAATAAAAAGTAATAAGGGAGTCAGGTTTAAATAACACTTAGGAAATATTAAAAATCAAGAGTTGATAAATCTCCTGTGAAAATTAATTGACACATAATTACTCCATTTATACCATAAAACTAATTAAAAACGAAAATAATTACAAAGAATTTAATATAAGGGAGGCAATAGAAATATTTAAAAAATAAGAACAATTTAATTAATTAGGATTTTAGCCTACTAATAAGATGTATTATTAAACTTGTGAAAAATGTGAAAAGTTACTAGGTTATAAGATCACTAGGGGTACATAAGAAAGTATTTTTGGTCGGGGTGTTAGTATGTGTTTAGCGTTGATAATGGTAATATTACTATCGATATAATTCGCGATTTTTTTAGTAATTTTTGTAGCTTTTCGAGTTAAATATTTTTTAATTTCGAATTTATACTCGTTGGTCCCTAGCTTCACCCACCCTATTAATGCGAGCTTGAGTTCATTCAACTTAATTCAATTGAGTGTTAATACTGTACAGTACTATTTAGAAAATAAATTCCACTATAGAATTTCAATGTTCCAAATTCTCAATAAAACGACTGCATGGAAAAAAAACAATCTTGCCATAAAAAACATTTTACATGGATAAAAAAAATATAACCATGACAATCTTTATCATATGAATAATTATAGGAATTTTTGTAAATTTCTTTTAAATTTTATAACGCATTCCATCATTTGTTTTTATATTTCTATACATTTTTTTAATACTTAAATAATTGCCCCATTAACATTCAACTACAATGTTATTAATATTTGATTTATATTATTTGATCGAAAAACATTTATTGACATTATACATTATTTATAAATAATTATTGGGTAGTTTTTAAAACTTTACATAAATCAATTAAATTTAAGTTTTACTTATTGTTATTTTTGTACTTTAAATTCCGCAATAGATAATTTAGGTATAAATAAAGTTTAGTCAAGTTGTTAAGAATCAGAACTAAAGGTACTATTGAAGAAGAAAGGTAAGAACAGAACAGAATATTCCAACAAACGTTTGAAAAAATATTTAAGTAATCATATTCTCAGTAATCAATTTATATTATTCAATTTATAAATTGTTTATTATTTCTATAGTTAAAAATTATAATTAATTTTTTCAACCAATATTTAATAAATGATTTTTACATATGGTTAAAAAAAACTATTTTAACTTTTATACATTTTTATAGAGATAATATTTGGTTTATTACAAGAAATTAATTTCTTCTTTCAATATAAATCGATCTTAACATAAAAAAATATGTTATACTAACATTTTTTCTTTCCAATTTAATTTATATCTAGAAATACTATTTATGGTTGGCTATCATAAATTTAATAATATTGATAGATTTCTATTATATTTCTATATGTTATGAGGAGAGAGGAAACGGGAGCTGAACAATTATAGAAATGAATGTTGAGGAAGAAGAGGTAAAGGAAGACCAAAGAAATGATGGAGGGATGTAATTGAATGCGATATGAGGACGGCTGATGTGAGTGTAATTGATGTGGGAAATAGTATCAATTGCAAGTTTAGGGTTTAGGATAAGAGTGGACGACCCCAAGTCGTTGGGATTAAGGCGAGAAAAAAAAAGAAAATTGATCGATTTCTATTATCGGTTACCTTGTTTAAGGTTAAGATTAATGAAGGAAAAACTAAAAATGTTTCTATAGAGATCTTATTTCTTTAAAAATATAATATTATATTATATTGTGCGTATGTTTGTATTAACTACATCTATATTGTACTGGGCAAGGAAAGATTCTTAAATAAAATAGTAATATAGTTCACTACTAACAAATAATTTATGAAAAGGTAAACAGGAAATTTTGCTAAAATGAAAATATTTTTAATTAAATTTTTTATACATACATTAATCTATACAATTTTTAAAAATGTTAACACAAAAATAATAATTATTTAACTACGACATTTATTTGTACATAGAAAATAAGTTGTCGAGACATATTTCTATTTAAATTATAGAATGTAACGTAACATTGAATTTAATTTAATTTAATTAAAAGGCAGTATTTCCGGAATATTTTCAAAAGTAGAGTTGAAAAATTTTCTTTGCAATAGTTGCTATTTTGAATCCTTCTATGGGCAGGTAAAGAATCGGGTTTTTAACAATGTAAAATAATTACCTTTTTTTTAATTATATAAAAAAAATGATTTTCATTCATTTATTTTTAAAAAAATTATGGCGTTTATAAGTAAAAATAAGAACTCAAAAAATTGTGATTTTTTATACCAAAATAAAATTTTTTGACTAAATACGGTGACCATTTACACATAAAAGACGTCGGGACAATTTTTTTTTAACTTATAGTATGTAACATAAACTTTAATTTAACATATATCTAAAGTTTGGTGTATTTCCGTATCATTTTCAAAAGATAGGCATTACATTTAAAAGTATCATTGTTAGTTCTCATATCAATCTTAGTGGGCAGGTTAAAGATCAGGTTTTCAAATAAAATATAACTAAAGAAAGTTAAAATTAAAAAAAAATATAACAGTTTTAAGTAAAAAATGTTGAAATCTATCAATTTAAAAAAATCATAATTTTGGGAGGATTTATTTTATTTACGATAAACTAGCATAATTTTTTCAATTTTTAAGAGTTGTCTTCAACTACATACAATTTGTAATTTTATGACGTATTGTTGAAAATAATTGTTACAACGAGAGCTGAGAAAAATGGCGACAAACACAAAAAAAATTACTTCATAGTAAAATTAACACTTTCTCAGCTTCGAATCGAATTATTGTTTTCAGGCTATATTATGATTAAAATTACAATGTTTTATTTTCAATATAACTTAATAATCTCATTAATACTTATTTTATACTATATTATAGTTTGTCTACCTAATAAAAGGCAAATGTGATAGAAAAAAAGTAGTGCGCACTTTTACTCCAGATTATTTTATATAAAATAATCTATAAGATGGAAAATATCGGTTTAGGGTTGCTCTATAATGTTTTTATTATGGACTGAAATTCGATTTGTTTTGTGATTTCGGTTTCGTTTTTGAATCTCGGTTTAAAATAATAATTACTTTGTTTATTTAAAATAAGAAATAAATAATAGTAATGATAATGCAATCTTCTGGACACCTGTAGATAGTCCAACAGAGAGCTCACTGCGACATGCACACACATCGTAAGTCGAATTGTTAAATTAAGTTAATTTAAATTGAGCCAATTGCACGTTATATAATTCTATAAGAGATCTTATGTGAGGATGGTCGAATTAACTGCCACATAGTCTGTATAGACTGTATTGAGTTGGTCGTGAATAATGAACTGTGTGCAGTTTACCCTCCCGTCTGAAATGATATGTATTAAATTTTCAATGTCCGAATATTGAGTTGATGGCTTATGTTAGTTATAAGAACAGAATTTCTGCAACGAAATAACACAATAAAATATTTTAAAAAGTGTGTTTAGAAGACACTAGTTATTGAAGTGTAAATATAAACATAATAAGCATTTAATAGCAAGTTAGATAAAATCGAATTATTAAATCTACAATTAAATTAAAAATATTGATGTAGGTAGATTAAAGATAGACCAAAAAGATTACTACATATTAGTATACTAAATTTTCTCGAATTCTGGTTATTTTTTGAAATTCAATTAATGTGCATTGACACTAATGAATACGGGTCTATTATACAGGGTGTTCAGTAAGTCAGGAAACGGGTATCTATTGTTCTCATTGTTACAAACAATTATACACTCTGTATAATACAGTTAATACAATAAAAGATACTGTACAATAATTTAATTCTTCGTATGTGGTGGTGACACTGCATGTGGCACATTTGAGTTACTAGTAAATTTCGAAGTGAACTATATGGTTTTATTGACACGCTTATATTAGTTTCACCTGTATGCATGTACGTAAGTTTGTTTGTAGCTCTCCGCGCGCCACTTGTTATTCTCGCATGTCCTGTCGTCTATGACCTTGAGACTAGACTGTCGTAACGCATTCACCCTACCCCACCCCACACCACGATCTCCACATCCCGAAAACACTATTCCTGTATAAATTTAGTTTTGGTTATCGTATCCGTACACGCGTGCTTGCTATCAATATTATACATATATAAAAACAAATTTTTATTTTGACTGACCAATACCGCCCGCGTGCCATACGCCTTACGTATATATATATTTATATATTCCTACCGCCGCTGCCGCTGTTTATACCTCAGGTATAACATTCCTCCGCCCCGCCCGCCCGGCCACAAAACACGGCCATACCTAGTGCATGAAACGTTTAAGTACTTATGTCACCTTACTATATATATATATGTATGTATGTATGCATATACATATATATTCGTTTATATATTCTTACAGCCGCCGCATATGCCTCGCGTGCAAAGTTCTCCCGTTCCCCACTCGCCCACAAAACACAGCTATACCTCGTGCATGATATGTTTAAGTCGCTTTACATGTATATATATATATTCTAATTGCTATTAAAAATATATATTAACACGCTTTATTCTCATTTAGAGATATAGAGTGTATTCATTCCGATTACAAAAGATAATTCCTGTATCGTCATTTTCGGTCACTACCTCCATATTCCGGGAGTGGGTAATTTTTGCGCCTGCTGCTTTCCTTGGATGTGGTAGCCGTTTCTCAGACTCCCTCTCCGGAATCGAACCCTGATTTCCCGTTATCCGTTACAACCATGATATTGATAGTAACTACTATCATAACATGAAACTAAAAAGTGAAAAATAAATATAGTTTAAAAAACTGAAAAACACGCTTTTAAAATATATTGAACTAAAAAGTTAAAAATAATTTTTAAAATAAGCTTAAAACAATAATGAACCAAAAATACTAGTATTAATGTGAAAAAAAGCGTGGGTGCTTTGTGCCATATTATTCGTATATTGAGCGCCCGACACTTTTATCACAATAATACTAGTATTTTTCGTTCATAATTATTTTAAAAATTATTATTAACTTTTTAGTTTGATGTGCTTTAAAAGCGTGTTTTTTTAATTTGGTTAAACTATATTTTTTTATCTGTCACATAATCAAGAAAATTATTTAATTCTGTTTTAGGAATCAACTATGATGAAAACTTCAATTTATATTTTATTATGCGGTAGTAAAATGTATTTTTATTATATAAATTTTAGCATTAGAAGAAATTTTTGAATAATTAGTTTTAAATCGGTAAAATACCGAAAAAAGTGATCCTCTATTAATTAGTAGTAGTCCAACTGTCGGGATGTAGACAAAACAACTTTTTGGGATAATTTTGTGATTTCTTAGTTTGGAAAGAAATATCTAAGTAAAACATCTTTAAAAAATATGAGTTATTCATATAATAATAATGAACCCTACAATGATTGTTATTTAGGAGTTTTTTCGACCCATTTTGTTTATATAAATGTTATTGTTAATCAGATAAATGCGTTAGCCCGGTGCGTACCGGTTTTTTTTTTTTTTGTATTGTATAAAAAGTAGCCGGACGATAAACTCGTCATCGCAAAGGACGGCACGACGCGTCGTCAATATGTATGTACGAAATTAAGTATAAACTAAATTAAAAGTTTAAGTTTGTATTAATTAAATAGAAAACATTTTATATAGTCCACTCTAAAATCGAAAACCAGAGCTAATAAAAGTTTAGTTGCATACTGATTGACAGGAGTCAATTAAATTTTTGATTGCTAGAAAGACTACATTTCTTATGAATTTTTTATGATATATTTTTTATTTAAATGTATAATTTATACTTATTTAATTTACAGCAGCTGGATTTGCGTTTAATTTTTTAGCATGTAAGTAATTATCTGCAGGGGCGTATTTACATATTTTCCGCCTATAAGCATTTAAAAATATTTTCCAAGCAAATCTATGTTTATTAATAAATCATAAAATAAATTGCTTGTAGCTATTAATATACATATCATAAATACACAATAAATAAAACGATTATGATAATTTTTAGAAAGTCAATATGTCTTAACAACAATAAAAAAATGACTCACTTTTTGTAAATTTATTGGCCTTCAATATTTGCCGCCACTTAAAATACGCCACTGATTATCTGTTATTTTAGATAATTTCTATTTTAAACTTCTTATAAAAAAATGTTGTTTTAATTTTCCTACGAATGCAAGGTATAACAATACTTTGGATGTTATATTAATGAATATATAACTCAATTTTGTATAATTATTTCGGTTTTTCAGATTGCATGTGTTGTGATGAAGAAATAAAAAACACCGATGAAAATATCAATCACTGTGATGGACACGATAATTGCAAGGCGTGTGTTGAAAATTTAAAACCAAATGAAGAATTAAAAGAAACTATATCTATATTAGGTAAAGTCAAACTAATTATTATTATGTTTTACAGTTTCATTGATAATTTAAGTGTAATTTTGAAAGAGTTAATGCAAAATAAAAAAATATGACAAATGTTACGGTTATTACTTAAATGGCCATGTACTTATAGAACACAAATCGACAAAAAATTAATTATATTTTTAATCATTTAAAATTTTAACTTTGATGCGAAGCTGAGGAGGTATTGGTTTAACTATGTGTTTTTTTTTTGTGTCTGTTACCACTTTTTCTCAGCTCTCACGGAACTGATTTCTTTCAGCGATACGTCAAAAGATCACAAATCATATCTAATCGAAGACATAACCCTTAAAAATTGAAAATATTTCCCTCGTTCCCCATAAATGGGGAAAACCTCCAAAAAAATTACAAATTTTAAAATCGCTAATTTTCGAAATTTATTTTTACTTAAAAGTGCCATTGTTTTTTCAAAAATGAAAAATCAATAAAAAATTTTTTTTTTTTAGATGTTTGATGTCTTTAACTATCATTTGGTACATTTTTTTTATAAATCTGACCCTTTACCTGCCCACAGGGGGGATTTAAAATGATAACTTTTTCACAAAAAATTAACTTTTTCAACTTGACTTTTGAAAATGTTCCGGAAAATCTGACACTTTTATATATATCTTAAATTAAAGATAAAGTAATATACTTTATTATAGAAAAAAAAATTTCGGACTGTATTTTGTCTTCACGGTGAAAATGGCTACCAAATGCTAATTTTGTGTGAAAATTCTCAATTTTATATTTTATATTTTTAACTTTCAAATGCTATTACTTATTGAAAAGTGTATGGATCAACACAATTTTTTCATGAGAATTAGTATTTATATACATCTTTCATTCGACATTTTTTATCTTAATCATTAATAAGGAAATAGTAGATCATGTAGCTTTTGGAATAATCCACCAATTTTTTAAATTAAACACTATGTAAAGATTTGCATCGAAGCGTTTATTTTTGATAGTGATTTTAATCACTGTCAGATATTTTTATACTTGATCCAACTATGCCACGTCACCACTGTGCCACGACCCCCCTGTGCTGGGATTTTTAATTTAGTGTAAGGTTTAATTTGTTAGACATTCGGGTATTTTCCAAAAATTAAAATATAAGAGTTAAAAAAAATTTAGGTACGAGTGTGTGGTTTTAGTCATAACTTCCGTGTACCTAGTTTTTATAAAACTTTATTAAGATAACATTTATTGTCTCTAGCATTGTCAATAGAAACTTCATTATAGATGTTATTAAAAAAAAAAGTTATCAAAGTTATGAAATGCAAAAAAAAAAATTGAAAATTATCTTTTTTTACAATATCATAATAACTACGTTACCATAATTATCTCAAAATTATTTCGAGATGTTTTTTTAAATTCCTAAAATTGACAATTTTTTCATTTTTCAGCGCTTATAGTTTTAGTTTAATCAGATTAAAATGAGATGCAAAGGACTCATAGATAAATAAAACCTGTACAGTAAGAATTGAGAATTTTCAAAGATATCCTCTCCCCCCAAAAAAAACAGCACAGTGGGGAAGCGGCATAATTGGGACTAGTATAAATAATATTTAACAGTATTAAATATCATTTCCATAAAACGCTTCCATGAGAATTTTACTGAAATTATGATGATTTTCCATATTAGATGAATATCGAAACATTCTACATTCTTTTTAATAGAACATATTTTAAAAGGATTTTAATTTAGTGTAGGTTTTTATATATCAGACTACCAGAAAATGTTTAAAAATTGTAAAAGAACTATTTTTTTGTAAACACTACATATTTAACCTTAAGAATTAGTAATGGTAGAATAATAGTAAGATTTTTTATTGAAATATTGGAGTAAATATGATTATTTGTAATAGGTTGTCATTTTACTTTGCTTATAATGTATAAATAAATTTTGTTTATATTTTTTGATTATTTAGAGTGCGCATTGTGTAATGTAAATTTAGAAAATACTGATGAAACAATCAGCCCTTGTGATGACCATGTGTTTTGCAAGCCCTGTGTTAAAAGACTAAGACAAAATGAAACAGATGAAGAATTAAAAAAATATACATGTCCCTTTTGTAGAGCTAAATGTAATTATTACGTTTTGCAATTTCTTTTTTTTCTTTAAGTTTTTTAACGTTTTAAACAATTTTATTTACTACTTTAGTTTATAACTTTATTAGTTAAATATATCATTTTAATTAAATTTACAGCAGCTGCATTTGAGTTTAATTTTTCAGCATGTGAGTAATTATCTGTTATTTTAGATAATATCTTTTTTAAACTTCTTATAAAAAAACGTTGTTTTAATTTATCTTCAAATACAAGGTACACACTAAACAAAAATAAATAGTGAAATCAACCCGTCCAAAACGAAGTTTTCAAGTTAAGTTATTGACATGACTTACGTCGCAATAATGTAGACACTAATTTTTATACTAGAGACCCGCGAGTCATTTTAATTGATGAGCAACAACAGGTTGTTGGGTATCGGTGGTCGTGTCTTGGTCGTGCGACAAGCCGTAGCCGGTGGCTTATATCCTCGACGACGCGAACAAGACCCAACGGATATTAGCGGCCGGTCATTGTCAGTCGAGCGGCAATTGCTAAACTTTGCACAGCAAACGCCGGCGTATGGCACGCGATGTTTGTCAGTTAAACTACCAGACACACGAGTAGGGTTGTCAAAGGTGGCCGTGTTTAAAATTAAGTTTTCTATAGATTTTGTTCTGAAAATTGTTTTCTATTGCTTACCATTTATAAAATATGTTTATTCTATAGAACTATAGTGACATTAAATTAATATAATAGATTACACTTACACAATAATATACAAAGCATATTCACAACTTCAACTATTCTTTTTTTTTTATTAATTTTTAATCTATTTTACTTGAAGATATACTATTTTTGAGTATTTTTAAAATGTACTATTTTTGTATAATACATTTTTGAAGTATTCAAATAATTCTGAGAGGTAGATTTCGTGCAATTTTCAAAGTTTATAATTTACCGACAAAATATTATGTAACAATGTTACATAATATTAATAATATAATCTACAAGTAAACTTCCATAAACCACATAGAAAAAAAATATAGTAAAATCAAAATACTTACTATGGTCCTCAGTCCAATTTTCCAATATTTACACTAATATAAAAGCTGAAGTAACAAAAAATTATTTATTTAACAGACAAATTTTTTAAACGTATAATTTTATTACATTTACTGTTTTTAAGTAAAAATTATTTATTTGCTTATATGATTAATTATTGCATAAAGAAGTAAATACAATTGAAGTTTATTATACATAAATAAATTTTAAAAATATTTTGATTTTTCAGATTGTTTGCAGTGTAACGTAGAACTAAAAGACACCGATGAAAAAATCAGTGTCTGTGATGAACACATTTATTGTAAGTCATGTGTTGAAAAATTTGAAAAAAATGAAACTGATAAAATTATATGTCCAATATGTACATTTATTCATAATTATTACAGTAGACAAAATTTTCCTTTTAAATATCTCTAGTTAGAAATTGTTATTACTGTATAATTTACTATCTATAAAAATTATTTTTGGGGTAATAAATATAATAATGTGTGATCTAGAAATATGAAATTTTTGTATTTTATAATAACAAAATAAATCATTAAATGTACTTGAAAACTTCTAAAATTTCTCTATAAAAATGCTTAACAAGATAGAATAAATTATGAAACACATTTTTTTTTACAATGTATAAAAAAGACGGTTATTAAAAATGAAGTTTTAAAATGTATTCAATAAAACTCTAAGAATTTTTCCATTAGGTAAAAAATAACTTGTAAAAAAATTGGATGAAATTAAGTGACGTTAGCACATGCCGCAAAAGTAAATTTTCAATTTTCGTCACTTATCTTATAAACTATGTTTTTCACAAAAAAAGTTATAGAACTAAATGTTTAATGTAAAAAATTTTATTATCAAAAAAGTCATAACTACAATACTTACGCATAAATATTTAAAAAACGATATATTTTTATATTGATCGTTGAAATTTATTTTATTTGTTTATTTAAATATTTCCACGAACTATTTAACATATAGAAAAAGTTTCATATAAAAGTTGTTTAGAATTAAATTTTATCTTCGAAGCGAAGCTGAGAAGATATTAACTTTACTATGATGTTACCACTTTTTCTCAGCTCTCACCGAACCCATTTCTTTCAACAATACGTCGAAAGATTACAAATCGTATCTAGTTGAAGATATTACCCTTAAATATTGAAAAAAATTCCCTCGTTCACAATAAATGACGGAATCTCCAAAAAAAATACTAATTTTTTTTTTTTTTTTGCTTAAAACTACCATAATTTTTTTTAAAAATGACCAAATAAATAAGATATTTTTTATTGATACCTGAGGTATATACCTATCATTTCATATATTTTTTACCAACCATCCACCAAGAGGATTCAAAATGACAACTTTTTACAAAAAATTAACTTTTTCAACCTGACATTTTAAAATGTTCCGGAAATACTGACACTTTTATATGTATCTTAAATTAAAGTTTATATAATATACTTTAATATGCAAAAAAAAAAAATTTCGGATTCTATTTTGTTTTTATGGTGAAAACGGACATCAAATTAATAAAAAAAATACAATTTTAAAAAAAAAAATTTGTTTATATTTTTAACTTTACAATGCTATAATTTTTTGAAAAATATATGAATCATTACAATTTTTTTATGTGAAGTATAATTTATATACTTCTTTCATTCGATATACTTTTTTTTTTAAATCGGACCATTTTCCTTTGTACAGGGATGGTTCAAAACTTAAAAATGCGTGTAGAAAGTAGAACTTTTTCAATTTATTTATAATTAAAATATTTTTATTGTTTATTCATACGTAACCTAATAATCAAACATAAATATTTGCTATATTAAATAGAAGGATTATGTTATTATTTAGGCCATATGCGAAACTCTAATTTCAGACTTGAAATCATTGCAAAAATGGGTTTAGAAAAATATATTTTGGTCACGGATAAAAATTTCTTGTAGACCAGTAAATTTATTTATAAATAACAAACAATTTTTTTTTTTAAGTATTGTATTAAGACCTTCTACTTTTTATAAGTTTGCCATAAAAGTAATAACTACTTTATAATTTTTTATAATTTCTTCACAATAATTACCATATTAAATTATTAAATATCAATGTCATACCATATTTAATTGCTATAATAAATATGTATACATATATTACACTTATAAATCATAAAAGTTGTAATCAGGATATAAGTAAATAAGGAAATTGAAGATCACATTACTCTTGGAATAATTCACCATTTTTTTAAAATTAAACACTATCTACAGATTTGCATCGAAGCGATTTTTATAATAGTGATTTTAATCACTGTCAGATTAAATCTATACTGAACCTAACTATGTCACGTCTTCACTATAATGGGTTTTTTTTATTTTTTTATACGTTTTATTTTTTTTACCAGACGTAAATAACTTATTACGTTTATTTATTATTTTTTACAAATATAGAACAAAGATACATAAAAAAATCGATTACATTTTAATTAAATAGTTTTATATTACAAAGGATAAGAAATTAATTTTTTAAAATTACACCATCTAAAATTATTTTTCAGACTAAAAAAAAGTAGACAAATATACTCTACTGGAAAAAAGGATTTAATGAAATTTAAGTCTTAAATAGGTGTTAATATCTGAAAGTACATCTAAATACACATTTATTTAAAAAAGTACATACAGTCTGTATATATACAGAAATAATACAAATATGAATGGAATTTACACTACCAATGAATTGGTACATAACTAAGTCTAATGATAAAATAATAATTAAAATCGATATACATATTATTTTTAAATACATAATTTTAAATAAAGACAGATGACTGAATGTCTTTTAAACATCTTAGGTCATTGGATTTGTTTAATAATAAGATTTCCGTTAGGTTTTCATAGTTTTTTATCCTTGTTATATGCCTACGTGCAAACTACGTGACTTCATTTGCTATGGTCCTCGGCAGCATTGTGTCACAAAGAATTTGATAATTTCTGTCGAATTGGTAAGCCGTGAACGTGGTATAAAGGGCGACATTTTCACAGCAATAACAATCAATATGTAAAACTTACTAGTAAATCCCCAAAATTTAATTCTTTAAATCCAAATATATTTTATGCTACGTATAATAGACTTTTGTTCTCTAATAATAGTCCGGNAATATATTTTATGCTACGTATAATAGACTTTTGTTCTCTAATAATAGTCCGGCGTGTTTTACGATTACTGATAATTATTACATATTTTCTTTTATTTAATTTTCTAGCGTACAAGATGTTTCTAGTTAAGACAGTAGTCAAAGTGTATTTCCAAGTACTTAGCTGAATTTTTTGTAGGATTATTTGTTATTTCAATAATATTGCAATGTGAGATGTTTTTTGTGAGAAGTGTTTTTACAAAATTCTGACATCTTTCTTGCTTATATGTAAAAAGACACTTAAGAGCTTTCAATGGAATAATCTTTGCTTGAGTTAGTATACAATAGAACCTCAATTATCCGGGGTATTGGTAAGGAGGAGGTCACTCGGATAAATGAAAACCATGGTTAATCAAGACTTAATAATATTGAACTTTTGAAAATTTTTATTTAGTTATAATTAGAAATGCAACAATGTTATAGATCCATACAAATTATACATAAAAAGTTATCAGGGATTAAAATAAGAAGTTATCAGTATTTTTTTTTTGGTTTGAGATAATTTTATTTTTATATTATTTATTCAACGGGATTGACCCTTATTATACAAAAATATAGTTACAGAAAACAAAAACAAAACAAACAAAAAAAAAAAACAGTAATATAAAAATAATAAACATTAAAAAAAAAAAAAAGAAACATTTAAACAAAAAAATATAAAATAAATGTTTAATAGAAATTGAAATAGGGGTCTTCATTGGCATTTTTCATTAAACGTTTAATTGGCTCATTATAAATATATTTAGAAGAACAGATAGGTATAAAGAAGGGAGCGTGATTTCTGAATTTTCTCTAGGGAACTTTTAAATTAATTAACGCTAAAAGAGATGGAGAGTCAACTTTACCGTCAAGTAAATTTTTTGATAATTTAGTACCTAGTCTTTCAGCGATCAGCGAGTGAGGAAAGATTAAGGTATTCGGCCATAGGTGAGTATTCATGTTGGGGACGAGGAATATTTAATACAAAACCAGTTAACCGCAATACCTACGTTGTCCTCTGTTTGTGGATTCTAGATGATAGCACCATACTCTAAAATAGAACGAACTAATGCGCAAAATAGTGTTTTTATTACTAATTTAAGTTTAAAGTCAAAAGCTATCCTCATTATAAAACCGAGAACCTTAATCGCCTTACAACAAATCATATCAATATGATGTCGAAGATCTAATAAAGCATTAAATTTAATGCCAAGATCTATGACAGTTTCATAAACACGAGTAAGGTTAGATTCGTCGATAAAATAATAATGTATTATGGGAGATTTAGAGCGAGTGAAAGACATAACTTGACATTTAGAAATATTTAGTGACAAGCCCTGCGTCTTAAACCTAGTTGTAAACTACTTAAAGCCATGCTGAAGCCTAATACAATCTTCCTGCGTATTAATTTGCAAAAAAAGTTTCATGTCATCCGCAAAACAAAGCAATTTGCAGTTGAGATAAGTATGACTATCTCCATTTATAAAAAGAGAGAATAAAAGGGGAGANATAGCTTTTGACCTTTAACCTTTTGACCTATGACATTTGACCTATGACCTTTAACCTTTTGACCTATAACATTTGACCTTTGACCTTTAACCTTTTGACATTTGACCTTTGACCTTTAACCTTTTGACCTATAACCTTTTGACATATGACCTATGACCTTTGACCTTTTGACCTATGACCTTTGACCTTTAACTTATGACCTTTGACCTTTTTACCTATAGCTTTTGACCTTTGACCTTTTGACCTATGACATTTGACCTATGACCTTTAACCTTTTGACCTATAACATTTGACCTTTGACCTTTAACCTTTTGACCATTGACCTTTGACCTTTAACCTTTAACCTTTTGACCATTGACCATTGACCTTTGACCTTTAACCTTTGACCTTTAGCCTTTTGACCTTTGACCTTTCACTTTTTGACTTTTAATATTTTAACCTATGACCTTTCACCTTTTAATCTATGACCTTTAAATTTTTGGCCTTTGACTTTTAGCCTTTTGACCTTTGATCTTTGAAGGTAGCCGGTTATAGCTGCCCATCGCTCAAACAGCAGGCAGGCAAAATCATAGATAACATTCCGACGAAACACTTAGTAAAACTTTTTACGGTCGGATACGTGGTGTATTATAAAGCACACCATTTATCGTTGGGTTGGGTTCCTTCGTAAATTTTTTTTGAAGACCTGTTTTTATTTTGCTTGTTTTCCGAAAAATAAAATAATGATGAACAAAAAAAAAAAATTTACGCCTGGAACCCAACTGGTGGTCCTCGAAGACTGTAGGTCGTTAGATGGGGTCCGTGATTCATTTTACTTTAAGAACCTCTGCTTTAACCCATTGGTATCT